AGAGTGGCAGGCAGAGGGAGAGGGAGAAGCAGGCTCTCTGCTGAGCAGGGAGCCGGATGTGGGGCTCGATCCCAAGACCCCAGGATCATGACCTGAGCCGAAGGCATCCGCTTAACCGACTGAGCCACCCAGGAGCCCCTCCCTAAAAACTTTTAGATGGAGGTATAACATGCACACAGTAAAGTGGACACATCTTACAGTAATTGAATCAGTAATTGATGTTTTTTTCCACAGGTATGTGGTGTAACCAATCCCATATCCAGATACTGACCATTTCAAATCCCAGAAGAAGCATCCTCCAGAGGCTCCTCTTCACGTGTAGCCATGTTTCTGATTTTTATTACCATAGATTTGTCTCTTTTTGGGGAGCCTACTATTGAACTTCATATGAATGGAATTATATGTCCATATTCTTTTTTTTTTTTTTTAGTAATCTCTATACCCAACGTGGGGCTCAAACCCACAACCCTGAGATCAAGAGTCGCTCACTCTTCCGACTGAGCCAGGCAGGTGCCCCTGGTCCATATTCTTTTGTGTCTGTTTCTTTCACTCAACATTACGTCTGTGAGATGCACCCACACTGTTGTAGTAACAGTATTTCATTCATTTTCTTTTTTTTTTTAAAGATTTATTTGTTTGTTTGTTTTTTAACAGCGAGAGAGGGAACACAAGCAGGGAGAATGGGAGAGGGAGACGCAGGCTTCCTGCCAAGCAGGGAGCCCGATGTGGGGCTCGATCCCAGTACCCTGGGATCATGACCTGAGCCGAAGGCAGACGCTTAACAACTGAGCCACCCAGGCACCCTATTTCATTCATTTTCATGCATAGAATGCCACCATATGACTCTAACACAATTTAGCTGTTCCACTGTTGATGGATATCTGGTTTGTTCCCATTTTGGGCTGTTCTGTTTTGTTTTGTTTTGTTTTGTTTTTTGCTGAAAATAAGCATTCATATTTCTTGTCTATGTACCTAGGAGTTGAGTTGCTAGATCATAAGATAGGCTGTCTTTCCTGCATAGAAGCTGTCGAAGAGTTTTCCAGAGTGATTACACCAATTTACACCCCATCATAAATTTTCAGTTTTTAAAATGTTATCCATACTTAGAGATGTGCCCTGGTATCTCACTGTGGTTATAATTTGCATTTTCCTGATGCCTAGCAATTCGAGCACTTTTTCATATGTGTATTCATTTGTATTCACCCATTTGTAATTGCTGGATATTTGGATATCCTTTTTTGGGAAGTGGTTTCCAATGTTTGGTGTATTTTTAAAAACTTGGATTGTGTGATTTTTTTATTAATTAGTAGGCGTATTTTTATTATTCTTTGTTTTGCTTTTTAAACTTTCTTTTTTTTATTAAGTTTTTAATTTTTTTT